TGCCCTCTAGTAACGTGATAACACATGGCACCTCAGAATAGTCAGTTGACACCTCAACACCACGTAAGTAAGCCTTGAGAGTGCCTCGAACACCTTGTAGCCGCCCTAACGACCTCGGCACCACCTTAGTAGACCGAATTGTAATTGGTTCGACAAAACATCAGGTCAGCATAAGAGGTGACTTGCTTCTATCGGCCTGACCCGAGTTCAGCTAGCGATCTACCTAATGTAACGAGTGACCTCCTCTATGGGCGGAGTGTCGTTTCCAACTTCCCCAAGATCACGACACCACATTGGAAGAAGCTAGTTATCACCCCACCCATTTTAGACACAACTGGATAGGCATTACCCACTTACATGAAGTTCGTCTTTGAGCATAAAGTTCATTACACAAATTATTGGATAGGTTTTTGTAAATTCACAAATAATGGGTGTTTAGTAAATAACTCTTCCATAAATAATAAAATATTCCGATCGAATTGCACTTGGTACATGGCACATAATCTATCATTAATCCATATCATTAGTGTCGTAGATGTTGAGGAATTGAAACATACATCGATAGGATTTCCACCTTTACACAAACGACATGATTTACTTTCTATTAATTCAATTTCCACAATATATACTTATCAATCATATAAAATGTATTTGTCAGTTCCATCACTAAACACATCAAGGTGTTGTGACAATGTATAGGATTTTTTCAAAGGGTTCGATTATGATGCTAGAAAAATATGATACCAGAAAAATTTATAATAAAATCATAAAAGTGATAATCAATCAGGTGAATTTTCATTAAAATTCACTAAGGCTATGTTTGATTGCAATACAATTTTATTTGTATCAGTACAAATGTATAGGAGTGCAAATGAAAAAAACATGCAAAATTTGATTTAATTTTGTTTTGGATTTTAATTTATTCTGCTTTAGATCTTATTTTACTTTATTTGTACTACAATCAAACAAAATAAGATAAAATTTGAAACAAAAATAAATTAAAATTTACACCCAAAACATTTGCACTGCCATAATTTTGCATCAAAGACAGCCTAAGAGTTTTGTTTGATATCATCTCTTTCTAACATCATAGTTTTTTTCCCTTTTTCAAATGTTGGGGGTGCAACTTTCTTTATGGGAGGGAGACTTTTCCTGCTCATTAGAAACTTGACTCCAGTGCCTCATATTTCCTCCTGAAAACAACACAAACCAACTCAACTTATCAATCATCAATTTGGGCGATCCAATATGTGTTAATCTCCTTAAATTTTAAAAAATTTCATCCATTTATTTTAGACCCAAGGTCTGAAATTGAATCTTTCAAAATGTTCAGGATTTGAGATTTTTTCTTCATAAACTTAATTATTTTATTATATTTTGCATTTTATATTATTCGGCTTGTAATTTAACATCACATCCAAAACTTTGAAAAAGAAAAAAAACGCAAAATCTTGACATTTCAGAAAAGAGTTCCAAATTTTTTAAAAGAACACATTCCCAAACTTTAAGTTGAATGACATACCCAATTTTTCTCACATTTGAAATAGGTTGGTAGAAACAGCACCAGAATTTACTGAACTTCACCAAAATCTTTCAAAGCAACAAATCTTTCACGAGTTAGTGGGCCATGTGTTAAAAGGAAGAAAAGAAAAGGAGTAAAATAAGCTTCATACGAGAGGAGCATTATATTGCCACCTCTCCCCAGAATGTGCGTGTACCCACACTTGTCAATATACAACTCCCTAAATACAAATGTAAAAGAGAAGAAGGTATGATTTCATACACTTCTGTACTTATGTTATCATTCTATCAGCCGTATTTAAGTGAAATACAATCAGTGTTTTAAGAACCGATCGAGTTGGAGGCTGAATTGTTTTTGTGTTCAGATCGACGGATCGTGGGCATGGTTTTCAAAATCAGAGCGGACCGCAAAAACTGGAAACTGGTCATTTGGTCGGTTCTGTTTTATTTTAAAATTGTTTTTAGTCAAAATCGTTAATTTGGTCAATGAACTGTTGATCCAGGCAGTTTTTCAGTTAAACCTTTAACTTGGATAATGGTTTTTGACCATTTTTATTTTATTATTATTATTTTTTCAGAATGGGCCATCTGTTTGAATTGAATGGTGTTAGACCATTCAACCTGAGAGCCGGTCTGTAAAATGGTTCCTTATCCAGTCTGATTTTAGTTGAAATTTTGTTAATGTTAAAAAATAAAAATAGAAAAAATTATATAATAATTCAAATATAATAGTTGCATATATTTTATGCCTTACACTTTAATAGATTATAAAATAATATTGGCTTTTTGTATGTATTAATTTGTAAAAATCTATATAATATTTGCCTTGGATTCTTGATTGAAGCATTATTAATAAAATTATATAATATCTACATGTGTTATTATATTAATTATAATATATTTCTTCATATGTGTATATATATGTCATTTAAATATACAATTCCTATATATTTATATATTATTTATAATTGTTTTGACATTAAACTTGATGCTATTAATATATTTATAGAATTTGTGTGCATTTTCTTAGCATATCCAAGTGTTTCAATGTTTTTTTGTTCGGATTCATGTATTTCCTAAATGTATCCGTATCCATATTCGTATCTAAATTGTCCGATACAATATCCAATACTAATACTTTAATCCTTAAAACAAGTTTGATCATTCATTCTGGTCAGCACAGGTTGATTTTGTTTATTGAATTCAATATATGTGTTTCTCCCATCACTAATCATCAACCTATCTAAGCTTATTAACCAATAAAGAAGTTAGGCATGATCTTCTGGAGCTGCAGATCATCTATGAATTACACTGAAAAAAAAGGAATCTTTGCTGCATTCTGCTTTGAGAAGCCTAAAGTTGGACTGGCAAGTGGCATCTCAAGACCTTGGGGGATTGGTCTTGGGTTGAACCTATCGAGGCTGATGACCTAACGGCTGTTTGGTATGATGGTGAGGGGTGGTTATCAAGATTTTAAAAATTGATCCGGAAGTGAAACCATATTCCAGGCTGATGGTTCAATCACCTGGTTTGAATGAATGGTTCATTCCAATTTAAAAAATAAATAAGTAAAATAAAAAAAATTGCCAAAAAACTGTTGAATAGATTAAATGAGTCAATGATTCAACTATTCAGACCAATGGATCGCGGGTCAAATCAACAGCTTTTTACCAAAGACTGGATTAAGATTGAAACAAAACCGATTGTCTAGACTGTCTAGACGGATCTCAGGCCAAATGGTCACCGGTGACGAATGCTGATGCATTATACAAAAATTTCTACTTGAGTTATATTTATAACTTGTCACATAATAAATCAGGTAAGCACTACATCATTTGAATGCAACAGCTCCAATAACCCTTAGACTAAACATTTATTTGATATTTCCACTTATTACATTTTTAGGGGTTGTTTGGTTCAGTTGGTATTTATTTAATAAAAATTTTATACGGCATTCATCTTAAAAAATAAGCTGTTGTAAAAAGTTTTTAGGCACCACATAAGCGAGATCACATCAGCACCCCACAGCAGGCGTCCCACATGCACATTTAATTGTCAACAGGAAATATTCTCAATACACGGCGGAGCGTTGCGGGGCGCTGATGTAAACTCCACATGAGCTTATTAAGTAAAAATACCTCTTGCTGTTAGGAAATATTAACTAACGCAACAGAAACCGAACAGCATTTCAAATTCTATTGGAAGAAACAGCTATCTATCACTAAACTGGCGCCATTTTTTAAATAAACAACAACGGATCCAACACCTGGCGGTTGTAACTTGTAACCTCAACGATCTAATCAAATGCGTCGTTTTACTTAAAACGCAAACGTAACGTAACACTGATATATGGACCCAAACAGAATCGCGACACGCAACGCCTCCAGCTCATTTCTAATAAACACAACGTAATCCGATCCACCGACTGTCGTTTTCGTGAAACGGGAGTGGAATCTGAGGAGACGGGATCTGCTCCTCACAAATGGGCGTCTCACATTTATATCCACCATGCATTGAGAACATCTCCCGTGAATAATAATTGATACGGGAGATGTTCCAAATGTATGGTAGGATATGCGTATGAGGCGCCAGGTGTGAGGAGCAGATCCGGTCTCAAAATCTGAGTATGCATACCTGAATGCGAATTATATGCAACCCACCGTTTGGACGGTGGACTTGAATGCCAGCCGTCCAGCGCACTCCCAAACCCGTACCCGTACGGTAGGTAGTGACGTGCTTGATTTCTCATACTTACTGCTTACGTGGATAACCAACAGACTTTGAAGTTTGAACACTTCCTCTGCATATCGTTTGGGCTTTCAATTTTGACTTTCTAACCAACTTTTTTCTTTCATAGAATCACAGCAGATAAGCACTCACTGTCGATGATTCTATCTTTGTTTTCCACGTGCCAAACAAGCAATGCATTGGTCATTGGTGAATGGTGGTCCCACACTCCCCCACTCAAGGAATAATCCCGGAAATTAAAAGCTTTGACCTTGATTTGCGTCTGTTGAGAGTGGAGACTGCCCAGCTCTCTCTTCCATCTCCCAACCAATTCAGCTATAAACCAGAACAGTACACAGAGAATCAACTTAATTAAATATTCAAATTGTTTGTTATATGATACTCATCACCAAATAGAATATAATAGACAAACACTCTCTAGCCACTAATTTGAGAGATAGAGAAGATTTTATATATCCATTTTAAGCAATATATATATATATAATATTATAATTGATCAAGTTCCCTGTGTCCGGGTCGTTAGCGATTTCCTGAGCTAAAGTAATGGAAATTCAGGTACAAGTTCACGTCAACTACTGTAGATGGAGACTACCTAAGGCCAAGAGAGACAAAACAAAAACAAAACCCAAGGTCGGGAAACAAAAGTGAATAACAATAACATAGGGCAGTTGCTGAAAACTGGTGAGATGGTCTCCTCCTTTACTTTCTTCTCTTACCTTTTATTGGCTCACGGAGTTTGTGTTGCTTCATTGGGATCTGCCTTTATTTAGACCTGTTTCATATTTTTTTTTCTTTGTTTGATGTCGTGGTCTTGTGGCCTTGTGGGTGGTGTTAAGTACCAAATTCAAAAAGACGAACAACACGTCGACACAGGACGGAGACTAGGAGAGAGAATAAATAAATAAAATAGATTATTAGATTCAAAGGGACGAAGAAGGGGAAAAGCGAGCGCGTGCAAGTGTTAATGATGTCGATTCTCACGAGAAAAGGCTCGGAACGGAAGCTCCTACAGTTCTGCCTCACGCTGAGTCGCAGAGAGGAGAAATAGAGAGGAAAAGGGGAAGAGAGAGCTATGAGGCAGGGCAGAGCAGAGCTGAAGACATTGAGAAAAGAACCTTAACTCCAAATGCCCTTTACACCTTTCTGAAGATGGCAGAGGATTTCTCTTTCTTCAATAAGGTGTGTATGATACTTGACTCTTCTTTGCCGTTTATTTGTTCACCTTTTTCTTCCAGAATTTTTGATTTGGGTAAAAGCTGTGTGGGTGTTCTTGAAAGTTTCGCTTTTTCTTATTTTTTTGAAAATTTTTCTCCTCTTTCCTTTTTTTGCATGATTAACAGATGGGTTTGTGTTCCTGTCAAGGATTTGATAGGAGAATGTCTGCTTATTTTCATTTTCTTTCTTTCTTTTTTTTTGGTTTTATTGAAGATTCAAACAGAGTGTAACCCACATTACCTTCACCTATTTTGTTTCCTTTTTCTCCTTATACGTTTTTTGCGAGGTTGTTCAGATGGAATGTTGTAGTTTACTCCCATCTGTATGTTATAACTTGTAAGGATCATATTCTTTTACATAACAGATTGTTCACTTTTTCTTTCTTTCCTCGTGAAGGTTTCTTCTCTAGTTTTCTCAGATGGGTTACATTTCTGGTTTGCATACTTGACTTGTCCTGGTACCCATATCATCATCTGATGTATTTACTTACAGGATAGCTTCATCATAAAGCCCACCAAGAAGTCTCCATTGGTATTGAGGATGGTAGTTTTGATGTTTGCCATGGCTTGTGGTGTTTATATATGTTTAATCTGTCTAAAACAGATAAACACCCACTCAAAATTCATAAGCGTCCAGGTGATTGATAGGCCTTGTAATGCTTCGGGTATTGAACAGTGGGAAATTCCGTATGTACATTACCCAAAACCCAACACCTTCAGCAGGTAAAGAAGACCTCCTTTTTCCCTTCTTTCGGATGTATGGTCACATTTGGGTCTGCTCATATGTTGGGTTTGGTGCATTAACAGGGATGAGTGTACATGCAATCCTGTCCGATTCTTTGCCATCTTGTCGATGCAGAGATCTGGGAGTGGATGGTTTGAGACACTGTTAAACAGCCATATCAATGTAAGTTCAAATGGGGAAATCTTTTCCGTTAAACAGAGGAGGAGTAATGTTTCAGAAATACTGAAAACACTGGATACGGTTTACAATCTTGACTGGTTCAGTAGTGCATCCAAGAACGGGTGCTCAGCTGCAGTTGGCTTCAAGTGGATGCTTAATCAGGTGAATAGTTTCATGGGATTTAAGTTAAAATTTTCAATTTTTCCCTTTCTTGTTATTGCCTAAGAGAGAGAGATAATGGAGTCTATCATGTATTTCCTATGTACTTTGTGTAAACTTGTTGCTAAACACCTATTATCTAAAGTTATTCCTTTAAATAACCTGTAGAGCTTGATAGTATTCTTCTACAATATTCTTTCACATCTGTTCTAGCTGAGACAAAAACATTTATTTCTTTAGATTGAATTCTGTAACCAGCAATATTCATTTTCAAACAAGGATGTTTTGTACATGGTTCTTTAAAGAAAATGTAGTGCTTCACATATTTCAAAAAATGATAAAAGCAGATTAATTACCATGTTACAATATACAGTCAAAAAATGGGGCTTATACCACATTATCTGTGTCTAACACTTTAAATTAAGAATAATTGCCATAGCACCATGATTTCCCTGTGCTGTGTCCTTTTCTGGCTCTATTCTTTTGGACTTCTCCCCCTAATGGTTTTTTTTTTTTTTAAGCTAAAATTTGATGGCCGCACCATGATTCCATTTAGAGTATTCATTCTGTAGAGCAACTGCTGTGTCCTTTTTTGGCTCTATTCCATTTAGAGCATCCCCTAATGGTTTTCTTAAGATAAATTTTGATGGCAGCACCATGATTCCATTTAGAGTAGTCTTCATTCTGTAGAGCAACTGCTGTGTCCTTTTCTGGCTCCATTCCATTACAAGCATCCTCTAATGTGTCCTTTTCTGGCTCTATTCCATGTAGAGAAGTTGCCATAGCACCATGATTTCCCTATGCTTTGTCCTTTTCTGCTTCTATTCCGTTTAAATTCTAATTAGTCTTCATTCTTCTAAATATGCTCTAGAAGCTTTGTCCTAAAGAACATTGATAGGCAGTTCTGCATGCATGGCTTGGTTGTGCCATTACTGGGTCACCCTATGATCTCTCAAAATGACACTGTAAGTCTAGTACATCAACTTGTAGAAATCATGGTATAATGAAGTGACTATAATTGGTAGTAAATGAATATTAAATGTCCAGTTTCTACCGACTTCAGTCTGGAGCGTTATGTTGTAACTTATAAGAAGTGTCATGCCAAGTGCCAAGTGCCAAGTGCCAGCATGGTATCCAATGTTGCCATGACTTGTATCCATTAATTTGAGGCACTCTGTTAACATTGAGGAAAAAAATCCGCCTGCTCATATAAAATATTATGAAGTGGTAAGCAAGTAAATTAAGATGTTGGATGGATCATTATTCTGCATTTTCTGTTTAAATATATAATATTAGAATTGTTCCTCTTAATTCCAAAATGATTGGGCATGGCCACAACCGATTTGCATCTTTGCATGTTATCAAATTTGCCATTCAAGAAGTGCATTTTACTAGATAATCTTCAGTGGAATTCTCCATTTTGTATGTGGGTGGGGTGAGGGGAGTAATTATAACTCAATTAGAAACGACAGGAACTATTACCCAAAATGTGCAGAGCAACTGCTCTACAGAAGAAAAGGAAGAGGTTTAGACTAATTTTGTTATTTTTGTGAATCCTTTGTTGTTCTCATAAGTATTAAAAAAGTAGAAGATGAGTTGACACTCTGCAATCCTTACCTCATCTGTAGGTGGGCAGGTAACTTTGCACTTAATTGAGTAAATTTCGTGTCCTTTATCTTTCTAATAATGAATCTCTTAGTCATTTTGAGAATTATTTAGAAACAGAATAGAAACAAGACCAAGTTTCCCACCCCGGAGAATGAAAGTTTATGGAAGGGGATACTTCTCTCGTTATATAATTAGAATTCAACCTTCAATGGTTTATTTTCTTCTTCTTATATTTTTAGGGGCAGGGTGAGCATGTTGTTTAAGTTCTTGGCCATATTGATGGTTGCCTCTTGATTTTTGTTACCAAAATATTCTTAATTTCCTTTTCTTTTTAGGGATGAAGATGGTATTCTTATACATATGGAAATCTATATATACTTTATGATTGGAAATAGAAATGTAACAAAGATTTCTTGTTAATTCATATTTTAACAGGATTTTACTTTAACAGAACCATTTATAGTATTGCTTTTCTTTTTGTATCTGAATAAGCATCTCTTCTTTTAGCATTTGTATGAGCAGGAAAAACAATAAAATAGTGGCTTATTTTTTAATACTCCTCTCTCTAAATCAATACAGATAATTAATTTCTTGATAGGTTGAACTGGAACTTTGTTAATAAAATAACAACCAATTCCAGTTGCAAAATAGAAAGAAGGGAAACCGTCAATTTGCAAGTCCAATGTTTAAAAAAAAAAAAGAAAATCTCATGATGGTATTGTAAGCATGAAAATTGGAAAAGTGCCACTTAATTTCCTTTTTCCATGAATGCACAGTATACATGTGTTCATTATATGGTGAAAGGAGTATATATTTTTTAGAACAGAGAATAAATAAAAGAAATAAAGACAAGAGCCTTCAAGGCTATTATCCTGTACTTTGAAAGAAGCAAAATCTATGCAATTGATAATGAAACTACCCTCCCCCCACCAAAAAAAAAAGTGCAAGTAATTGATAGATAATTGAAAGGAATAAGGAAAAAAAAAAAAAAAACTTTCTTTAATCAGTTTGTGCTACCATCACCATCCATTTCATAGGCTCCTTCCAGCCTTCTTCCTTTTCGTAAGTGTCATATACATGAATTAACAAAATAATATAGAATTTGGTGCAACATGTATTATGGTTGGCAGCAGATATGTAAAAAACCAGACTAATAGGAAATATCAATTTAAAAAGAAAGGAGAGCAAAAAATTGTAGTTGAAGCTGTCTTTTTGAATCATCTTACTCTGATTTAGCTATATCCCTACTTATTTGAGTAAAGAAGTACTGCCTTTATGTCTGATACTTCACTGTTAGTGTTAACTGGTTTTCGACAACATTTTCATGGCTATGTGAATGGTATATATGGGCAATATAAGCTCCACTCAGTGAGGTTAACGTGTCTTGCAATAAACGTGGCAGGGTGTGATGGAGCATCACCAAGAAATAGTAGAGTATTTCAATCGGAGGGGTGTATCTGCAATATTCCTCTTTCGAAGAAATCTTCTACGCAGGATGATTTCAGTTCTGGCGAATTCTTATGATCGAGATGCCAAGTTACTCAATGGAACCCACAAGTCTCACGTTCATTCACCACATGAGGTTGGTCTCTGTTATATCTCTCTCTCCGTCATACACATACAAGATCTTGGATTCAAAATTGATAACTGGTTACAGGCCAAAATACTTGCAAAATTCAAGCCCATAATCAATTCCACACTACTAATACCCAATCTGAAGCAAGTGGAAGCAACAACTGCCAAAGCTTTAGAATACTTCAAAAGCACACGCCACACTATTCTTTACTATGAGGATATTATAAACAACCGCACTGTAAGAAATCTTTGTCATCCAATTGGCTCTAATACTCCGTTTCCTGAATCAAATATGTTATACTGCTCCATATTATCATTCACTATGTCTGGTTTATATGATCATTTTTTCCATTGATTTTCTGCAGAAGCTAATGGATGTTCAGGAGTTCTTACGAATACCACCGGAAGAGCTAAAGAGCCGCCAAGTAAAAATACACAAGGGATCCTTATCAGAGCAGGTTGAGAACTGGGATGATGTCCACAAAACACTCAAGGGAACACGGTATGAGAGCTTCCTCCATGCAGACTATCAAATGTAAATAACACCTTCAGTTCATTCATTTCCGTGACAAGAGCCAGCAAAACAAACCCCCCGCCCCCACACCAAATTTTGGATGCAAGAAGGGTGCAATACTTCCTTTTTTCCTCATTTAATCCTTCTGATTAACACTTGGTTGATCACCTTCTTTTCCCAAGTAATGACCTGGTTCAATTCGAGTTGACATCAAGGTCTCAAGGTGCAATCTATGTTCTCAGTTGGCTCACTACCATTTCCAGTTTGCATTTTTTTTCTACTTGTCTCCTTGTTATGTAGAAGAGAATCAAAAAAAATCAAGGGAGGAAAAGAAAACAGTTAGCCCATTGTATATTCTAGATCTGGCACCTTAATCACAAGCTAGGCAAGTTTACGAATCTCAAACGGATTGAACAGTTGAGCGTATACAAATATACAATTCATTTAAATGCTCTTTTTTTTTTTGGTATGACATACGTGTTAGAACTGCAGCTGCATAAATACAGTATGAAAACTCTACAGGACATGATACTGGAAGAGCTTTGACCAATCACTAATCAAGACACCTAGTGAATTGTGATAAATTCCACCTGATTGACTATCACTTTTATGACAGGCCTGATGCCAAAAGTTGGGTTATCAATGTGTATCGATATGACCAATGCTCTATTTTTATAATATCTTATAAGTATTAGAGAGATGTCTTCTATCATCCCAAAGTGTACCAGTGCATCCAAATATTTCTAGGTGCACTGATATGAATATTATACGGCCCACATTGATATTTTAATTACCACTTGATTGATTATAACTTTTTCCGGTAGCATGTCTTTCTTTTATCATAGTTGAAGTGTGAAATCATAAACCCAGATTTTAAAATTTTGTTCCTTCAGTATTTGGGTCGGATGTGTATCTAAATCCATTTGATCCCATTAAAGTCTTAGTTGGATTAGGTTTTATATAATATATAATAATTGCAGGTGACATGTGCCTAAATAATATATATATAATGTATAATAAATAAGTCAATTATTTTATGTTTCTTAATTTTTTACACATGTTAAAGGGTGATTAGTTTATGGGAAATTTCGAATCAGTACCCTGTACTTTGGCTTGAGTGACTATTTGGTCTTCAAATTTTAAAATGCGATAATTCAGTATCTAAACTTTCAAAATGTGACAATTCAGTATCCGAACTTTCAAAATGTGACAATCTGGTACCTGTTGTTAATCAGTCTGTTAATAAGCCATTAAGTGACATTTGAAAAGTTAAAAATACCCTAAGAATATCATCTAATTCTCTTTATCAACCATCCAAACATTGACAATAAAACGAACAGTCCCAAATTCTAGATTCTTTTAAACAGTCACCAACATTTTTGAATAGAAGAGGTTAGGATTTGGGATTGTTCATTTTTTTGTTAACGTTTGGATGATTAATAAAGAGAATTAGATGGCATTTTTGACTTTTCAAATGTCACTTAATGGCTTATTAACGGAATGGTTAACGGTAAATACTGAATTGTCACATTTTGAAAATTTAGATACTGGATTGTCGCATTTTAAAGTTTGAGGACCAAAGTGTCACTTGAGCCGAAATACAGGGTCCTGATCGGGAATTTTCCCTTAATTTATTTTTGATCTTTTATTTATTTTGTTTCTTTATTTTAAAGATGATAAGGAGGACTCAGATCAAACCCCAAGTTACTTGGATCTGATGGGATTTCTAATTATATTTGGATTTGAGTTTCTTATAATCAAATTGGACTTGGATGTGGGTGGATTGATACCTAATCCGACCTGATTGCAATCCTGCAACCCTACCCCTTAAAGTTGAAAATGGGTCGAATTTAAAATGGATATACTATATCCAAATTTGATCTATTGATATTTGGATTGGAATGAATCTTTTCTTTTAAGTCATTAATAATTTAAACTCAAAATGATCAGAACATGAACTTGATACGGTTGGGATTGAAATTCAGAAAAATCAGATCCCCTTTGCAGCCTTTAACACACACCACATATCGTGCCCCCCAGCTAGTTGTACTAGCTTCCTTATTAAAAGCAAGGCTCAGATGAATTGGGATCTGTTCCTCATTCGGAGCTTGTCACAGGCACATTCCACCGTGTATTGAGTGCATCTCTTGTAAATAATAATACAGAAGTATCGAAGATGTTTTCAATGCATGGTGGGATGTACCTGTGAGGCGCAGATCCTGTCTCGGCTCAAATTGGGGCCAGGTGCCATCAGCCATGTGATGGGGAGCAGGCCTTTTGCCTGCATATGGTGCACAGAGACAACAGTACTTTCCGGTGGCTCTGACTCTGACCATCTGGTCTGGGCAGATGGTTTTTTCCACTTCATATGAAACGAGTAACCGGCGTGGTGGAAATTGAGATCACATTAATAATTTTTTCCTTAAAGAAAGAAACTTGATTATCCATGTATTCTACCCAAATTCAGAACATGACAGCATGTAATGCTGAAAGGACACAGTTGGGATGTGCTGTGGGATTGATGTGAACTCTGTGACACTGCCCAGGCATTTACAACTTGGACAGCCTGCCCTGCTGCGGCTATTGGGGCCATCGCCATTGGCCCTCATGAGTTTATTCATTATTCAAATAGTGTACAGACTTTATCGGCTTGGGGCAGGCAGCGTTGTATGGATTACTGGTGTTGTTTTGATTCCTGTAAGACATCCGTCCCCACCTTCCATTTGTTTCTGGCGTGTTCACTTAGTAGGTCTAGGTCGTCATTTTCAATCCTTACAGTCTGTACTGGCCCTAGACCAGCTAGCAACAGAGTGGGCTCGTGGGGACTGGAGCAGTGGCCTGTTGGGAGCGTTATGCTGGTCGCAGATCCCTACCCTTGAGAGCCTAAGATGACATTATCTTCTCTTGATCTCTAGGTATACGCTCCACAAAAATGGGCATCTTATGTGGTTCTTATTAGTTAATTCTGACAATTCTCTCACCTTTTTCATTAATGTGTGTCTTGTTGGGTTTTGAAAGTTTGGGATGATAGAATATATCCCTGTTAGGCTGATTAAACTAAAATAAATAAAGAAAGAGTATCAATCATATCGATATGCATCAATATCCAATGTTTGATCCTTTACCAAGTGGAAATTATTATGAATTCTCTAATCCGAAATACACTGGTTGAAGATCCTGTATGAGAAATGATAACCTGAGACTGGCAATGTAACTATTGCAATAAGAAGCTCCCATTCCCAACATGGGTAGCCCAACTGCAGCTGCAGCTGATTGCTCATCTCATGTAGATCAAAAGGCCACACAAGTGGACAATTCCCAACTCATTCAGGGAACAAATTTTATGTGATCTCAACGACACTGAATCATATGGCATTCAAAAGGAGCTGTATCTTGAGATCCATTGCAGATTTCTTAACAGTTTTGAGTGATAGATCTTTTTTTTTTTTGATAGATGACAGAGACTTTTATTAAAAGATAATAATAGAAAAGGTACAAAAGGAGAGGTAAAAACTCTTAACCCTTCCAAGAAAGCAATTCAGATTACAATGTTGTCCAGAAGAAATTAATTCTTCCCACCCCTTATTTGGCCAAGGAGTTGACGCACCTCTTTATCCATTAAAACTTGACTTCCATATTTTGGGTGAGATGTCTAACTTTCTTTTTGTCATTCAGAAACTTCCACAGACTAAAAATATCCTTCATCATCCAATTTATAACCAACTTAGAATCACCTTCCACTATCAATTTTCTGATATTTAACTCTTGAGCTCTTTTTAAACCTTCCAAGACAGCCAATATTTCAGTTTTAAGAGTCCCCCATCCAATAGAACCAGAATACAATGCAATAATTTGACTTTTATCATCCCTAAGGGCTCTCCCTATGCCTGACAGACCTAGATTTCCTTCACTATTATCATCAAAGTTTAGTTTAGTGAAACCTAAAACTAGAGGGGACCAAATTGGGTGGAATACATTCTTTCTTAGAGTTGATCAAGCCACTTTTTTCCACTTCCTATGATGTTTCCTTCTGAATAATTTCAAAACTTTGTAAAGTTTTAACCCAATTAAAAATTGTAATTTGGACACAAAAGCCAACCTATACTCGAGAGAGGACCAGGAGGTTGGTCCCCTTGAAATTTGAAAATACGGAAGCTAGATTCTGATGTTTTGGAAAAGGATGCATGAATTAATGACCTTGCGAGTTATTGGGGGCAAGATTTTTTTTTTTTTTTGTTCTTTTTGTTTGTGCAAAGGGAGTGTCTTTTGGCACTGATGAAGGAGCAACTAAAAACATATCTTGCTACTGTGCCCTGTTGAAAGGCCAAAACCCAAAAGTCATGGCACATCTCCTGTGACACAGGATTCCCTTCACCCACCAATGAAACACAGATGACAAACCAACAGTTGAAATAGAAATACCATTTTCGTTATGTTCTGAATTTATCTCTGTTTGTTTTTCATTGGGGCCTTGGCCTTGGGGAATCGCAAGGGAGTCCTGTGACCACGGTTGCAGGAATTGTAATTTTCATCACAAGTTGGGTTTTCTATTATGTATCGAGGACATCAGAGATACCCTTTTAATGATGCTCGAGTTGAAATCTGATACTGCTGGTGGAATTTTGGGCTATGGCATTGGCATGGGAGGAATGACCAAGGGTTGTCTTCTATTTTTTGTTCAACATTTTCTTCCAATATTTAATATTTAGAGATGTTAACGGGTCAGGGTCGGCATGGGTGATGGGTTTACCTCAACCATAACCCCCGACCCTACAATTCTTCAACCCGAACCTTGACCGACCCAACCAAATAATGAGCATTTTTCGAACCAGATTCGATCTTATAGGGTTTAACCCAATAATGACCCAACCAGATCATCACCCATAGCCTTTCAATTGCATTTTTATAATATATATATATATATATATATATATATATATATTCAATAATCGTTAATTTAAGTTGAAGTTGGTATGTTAGCTGCTTCGCTCCAGCAACGAGTCAGGTTGAAGGATCAAAATCCTATCATGACCTTAAACCCGAAAGCCCGACCCCTCCCCCCAAGTTGGATTTACCATTTAACCCAATCCACTGACATCCCTATAACAGTATTCTTGTTATTTCTACGTATTATTAAGAATATGAAATCGTATTTATTAGTTAATCAACTAAATCTTCTTTGTTTTGTTACATTACAATACAGAGATGAGGTATTATTACATTGAAGACATTAAGGGTCTCTTCATTTTTTGGATGTTGAGAGAGGGGGGAGGGGGAATCAGTCAATAGGATTTTGATTTTCATTGGCCAACATATTCATTCATGTTCTTTTTTCATATTTATATGGGGTTCATGGAAAATTCATTTTCCTTGGGTATCATTTACCCATCTCCAAGAT